TTTTATTAGGCATGGCCTTCAGTGGTGCCACATTATATGTCTCATCAAATTTCCCACCTTCTTTAGCTTCTTTATCTGTTTTTAATGCTGTTTAATTTTATTTATTTTATTATTATATTTATATTCCACCTGTTCCCTTTCAAGCAACTCAAGACAGCATACATTATTCTCCTCCTCCTCCTCTCAGTCTTATTCCTGTGAGGTAGGTTGGCTGAAAGTCTGTGATGGCCCAAAGTTACCCATTTAGCTCCATGGCCAAGAGGGGACTAGAACCAAGATCTCCTGAGTCCTAGTCACACACTCTTAACACTACACAACACTGGCTCTCTAATATTGCTGTAGTGATTTTATTTGGATTAACTGTAAACTATCTTGGGGGCCCTTAATAGGGCCAAAAAGTATTCCCCACACACACACACACACAGTGTGCACGCACGCACGCACGCACGCACAGAGAGAGAGAGAGAGAGAGAGAGAGAGAGAGAGAGAGAGAGAAGTACATCATGCACTTCCAGCTACACAAACCATTCATGAGTGATCAATCAATCATTTAATTTAAACATTTCGAGATCCAAATTTCTGAACTTATGGTAGCCCTTGTGGCTGACAAAATGGGTACAGCGGCCAAACACAAATGAAGAGCTATCTTCATTGTATATTTAGGGCATGAGCAAGCCCAAAATAAGCACTGCAGTTAACAGTGATTTCAATGAGAGAGAATTAAGCACATGCTTATTTTTTCCACTGAAATTACATATGCTTGGTTCTGGATGTTCACGTCCTTACTTTTAACGTTTATAATTTGTTGCTATCTTCCTTCAGCCTTTATGAGAAAAGGTGGATCTTGGATCAATATAACTGTAAAATATACTTATACTACAGATTAGTACTATGAAAGATTAAATATAGTATTCCATGTGGTCACTTTAATAAATTCATAACTAAAAATAATTTTATGCCTTGTAGTATATAATCACGACTATGTGATTATATACTATGTTTAAGGGTTCTTCTCACCCTCTATTCAATATTTACATTGATTTCCCTAATGAGAACCAACTGATCCTTTTCTTGTATATTGATTTTCTAAACCCTAGTAGTTAACAATGATTCTAATATATCCTAACACTTTAGACCTTAATCATGGAGGGATGGAGGAGAAGGGTTTCTTGTAGCTTTTGTTTGAGTTTTAATTAAGAAGACCTTGTGTCTCCAACCCTGAGCTGTGTTTTTAATTGCTCATATGTATATCATGTAGACTTCAAAAGAAGTAAAAGTCATTTATAACACAGAACACAAAGGAGAGCTTTGAAATGTCTACAGCCATACAAAGTGGAATAATTAAAAACCTATGGGTGCTCCTGTGATATATAAGCCCTATATAGAGAGTGAGGGCGGGAAGGCTTCCATATATACTCATGGGTTGCCAAAAGGGATTTAGCCTTATTGGAGAAATAATCACAGCACATCTTGAATAAACTTCAAAGAAAACTTATATGGTAGTATCTTGAATTGTCTTTTGCTCACAATGTTCCTGTGTATTCTGTTATCATGCACAATGAACTTCTGACAGGTAACCTACATTTCTTTCTTTCAGAACTCTTCATACAACTGTAATAGGTAATTATGCTACTCTATACCTTCCTCTGAAAACAAGTGGCAGCAGGACTTGTACCAAAACATATATTACAACAGTATTCACAGAATGGTCACCAACATATTCCAGGAAAGTATTGAAATTAGAAGATGTGTACCATTGTTCCTCATGAGTCTCCTCCCCTGGCTACTGAAAAGAGAAACAGCTATTTCTATCATAAGCCATCAGCATGAAACTTGATATAGATCAGGAATACACTTAGTGTATTTTATAGTGGGAAATTCAGAGCAGAACTTCTCTGTTAAGCTTTAAAAGACCAAAAACCAGCACAAACCTTCCTAGAAGTGAAATCACCAGAATTACAAATCATACACAAAACAAAAGCCTTGGATTTCTTTTATTTTAAAAAATATCTAAGGATGTTACATCTTCCAAAGAGGGAATTAAAGAACTGTGTGAAACTAACTGAGCCATACAATGCAAATGCATTTCTGCAGTTGGCAAAGCCATGCACATCAGTCAATGTCTCTCCCAAAATAGAGCATACTATACAAAGAAAGACAGCATGTGACATTTAAGCCACAAAGACTATAAATATAGACTATATTCCAGTAGTGAGCTCCTCCAGAAATGGAAGCCAGAACACTTCACCCACTAGATGGGGACCCGGAACTCATATATCTACAGGACTGTTAGTGCAATTATGACTCTTGGAGATCATGCAATTGCTTATGTTATCTATGGACGGATCTTGTTTATTTGATCTTGAAAGGGCCTGTATGCTGATAGAAACCACTGTAAACTATTTCACTGGGACAATGTCATGATGCTTGCTGGACTCTGCTAAGTTACAGATTTATGCTGACACATGACACTGAAAACTAAAAACAGCTTATTAATGGTGATAAATGACATGCGACTGGAAAAGAAAACCTAGAAAGCTGAAAAATGCTGTAAGGGGTAGTCATGCATTCCTCCAAATCGTAGGAGACCTGAACCTTTACAACAGCTACACAGGGGAAGAGAGACATTTTGCATGTAAAATTATTTATTTATATTTATACATACATTTACAGCCCACCTATAACTGGCAAGGCCCTCCTAGGCAACCTATAAATATATGCATAAATTACTGATAAAAATACTTGTAAAGTATTTTGCATTAGTTAATATTGGCAATTTGTTCCAATTTTTATTTAATTATCATATTTGTATGCTGCCAAGCAGTCCAAAAGGCTATCTAGGCAGTGTACCACAATCAAGATTGAAAAAAAATCTTAAAATTACAAAATACAAAAATCAATAAAATTGATAAAATTCATCAATTAAAAGTATAAATAACAACAGCATTAATTTTACAATGATCATTATAAATCATGTATAGGTAAAGGTCAACCATTACTCTGTTAAATCCCTTAAAAATAGTTGTTAAAATGGATGAAGAAGAGAAATGCTTTCGCCTGGAGCCGAAGTGAGAGTAAAGACAGTGCCAGGAGAACTTCTCCGGGGACTCTATTCCATAGGTGGGCAGCAGACACCAGGAAGGCCCTTCCACTTGCCATTCTTCTCACCTCCTTGAAAGTTGGCTCTTTCAGAATGGCCTCTTCCCCAGATCTTAATGGTCGGGTAGGTATATATGAGAGAAGGCGTTCCAAGTATTTATATAACTGTTTAAAGGTTCACACAAGGTTTTTATCCTAGTACAACACATTGCTGAGATTTTATCTTTGAAGAACTGCTCCCCATACCATAGTACAAGTGATTTTGGAGAATTTATGAAGCGCTTTGCTCCGTGGCATGAATAAGTGACAGTGAAAGAATATTATGGTACAACTCTTTGGGTGCAGAGAATTAATTTTTATGGTTCTTTGTATCTTGGCCATTGTTTGTATGCATAATACAAATTCCATGAAATCAAACTCAGAACTGTTTATCAGTGCATCCTGTGTGAACATATTTTATTTCTATGGCCCTGGCTAAGATTTAGCAGCTCATAGACATTGTCCTGTCAGGATCTGTTCATGCCAAAAGAGCAAATAATGTAACAAGGGGATCCCTTTCATTTTACTACGAGCTGTGCCAGAAAAATTTCTGGTGAACATTGCATTCTATGTGCAATATGTAAATAATCATGAACAAAACTGGCCCCTGCTGGGTGCCATAGAAGGAATTGGAAAGCACTGTATTACTTCTCTGGCTGATTGATTTTATTTATAGTTTACCTTTTCCTCTTCTGAGGAGCCCAAAGTAGAGTACACTGTTCTCTTTTCGGGTTTATCTTCTCAACAACCCAGTTAGGTAGGTTATGCTGAGTTTCAGTGACTGGGCCAAAGGTGCCAAAAGAGACCTATACTCAAGTGGGGACTTGATCAGGGTGTGCCCAGTCCTTTTCTAGTACTAACCACTAGACCATAGTGGCTTATCACAACTATGAGAAATGGATACAGAATCCAACTTAAAAGCAATCATGTCTATTTTAGACAGGCATCTTCTACTATATCTATTGCATGATTAATAATATTTTTCTCTTCAGTACGTTTTGGCAAACAAGATTGGCATCACAAATGTGAGAGGGCCTGGCACAAAACAGCATATTGGATTTTTGTTTTTGCTTTTCCTATTTTCCTGGCACTTTTCACCACAACTGAGATGCCAGTCTGAAAAATAGAAGGGCACTTTTTAAAAGAGATAATATGTGCTTCATTTTTCCTTAAGAACAACGCCTTCCTTCTGATAAAGTAAACAACTCTCCAGTAACAGTCAGTGCAAAGAGCAGCTCTTCTTTACAGAACCACACCTTTGTTTCTTACAATTGAGATTCTTTTTTTCCTAATCACCTAACTTGTTTTCTTCTTGCAGTACTGCTTCACAGTCTTGCTCTAAACAGTAAGTTTGTGGTGGGATAAGAAATCAGTACATTACCCTGCAGAGCATTATTTGAGAATGGTGGTCTAAGGAAATAACCTGAATAAGGTTCCCACACTCCTGATTGGTCACTGCTATAGCATACAACTGAAACTTAAGGGGTATTCTGTGGAGTTCCCCAGAACTCACACACACCACAATGTTCACTATAGGAAGCTACCAACTGTGTAGATTACACAATTCAAACTGCTGCTATGCAAAATAGTGCAACCAAGAGATTAATGCAGACTTAAACATACAACTCCATCCTGCAAAGTGCAGAGCCCTTAAGACAGGTCAGATCCACAAAATAAAATACCTGGACATGCCAGCAATTCAGGAGTCACTTCCTCACTGACAGGACATTTGAAGAAGAGAAGTCACATTAGAATTCTTAAGAATTTGGGGCATATATCAATAGGAGACATCTACACTGTTTTAAAATCTTTTTACAGGACTACTTTTTAAATTAAAAGCAGGTGCCTACATTATACTGTACCTTTAATTTCTCCAAGGAGTTCACTTGTGTTTAATCTTTCCATTTTCTCCTTCCAGTCTTTAGAAAGCAATTTTTCCATGCAAGATGAATCTATTTTTAAAAAGAGAGAAAACATTCATAAAGAACTATCATTAATGAAACCAACACATAGATGGTTTGAGCTGATAAACCAGAAGACATGATTTAGAATGTTGTTTCAGTGTCATAATATATTTTGCTTATATTTGGCTTATGGGCAGAAGTCAATGCCACCTCAGCATGGCACTGTAAACAGTGTTGCTAAGACAGGAGCTACCTACGACTAGATGTGACTAAGCAGCAGCAAAAATGTTTGAGCAGGAAGAGGGAATATCTACTGTCAGTCTGGACTTGTGAGTTTTGCCCATGACTACCCATGTTCTGTATCAGATGAAGTGTTATGTTTGGATAGTGAAGCCCTAGATTGATTGATTGATTGATTGATTGATTTATTTATTTATTTTTATTTATTTATTTATTTATTTATTTAAAACATTTCTATGCTGCCCCCATCACAACAAAGCCTCGGGGCGGCTCACAACCAAAACAAACAAACAAACAAACAAAATCATATAAAAATTTATACACTAAAAATATTAAAACCCGGTGCCTCTCAGCTTAATTTTTTTTTTAAATCCTCCATAATAAATCAACACTTAAAATAAGTTTTAAATAAAAAGGTCTTCGCCTGGTGCCGAAATCAAATAACGACGGCGCCAGGCGGCCCTCTCTGGAGAGCACATTCCATAGGTGGGGCGCCACCGCAGAGAAAGCCCTCCTCTGGGTACTCACCCTCCTAATATCCTTCACGGAGGGTTCCCGGAGAAGGGCCTCTGCCGCTGATCTCAGGGGGCGGGAGGGCATATATGGATTCAAGCGTTCCTTTAGATACCCAGGGCCCAAGCCGTTGAGGGCTTTATAGGTCATAACCAACACCTTGAATTGGGCCCAGACTTCTATTGGAAGCCAGTGGAGCTGATGGAGAACTGGGGTTATATGAGAACAATGCCCAGTCCCCGTCAGCAGCCTGGCAGCTCTATTCTGCACCAATTGAAGTATCCTGACCATCTTCAAGGGTAACCCCACGTAGAGCGCGTTGCAGAAATCTAATCGGGAAGTTACCAACACGTGTTCAGATTTCCATTCAGTCATGAAGACTGTCATTCACATGTGTATGCTTGCAAGCTTGCCTCTCCTACTCTACACAGTTGTGAAGATAAACTGAACATTAATTATTTTATATAAAGCTGTTCTGAAAATAATCAGAAATTTAGCCATGGCAATAGAATGTTACAATGGGATTATAAGCAGTACACATCAGCTAGTACAGATTCCAAAGTACAGATTGATGTACAGTCAGATCACCCAGACAGACTCTGCATGTCCTCATGGCATTGCACATGAGACATTCACACAGTTACCAGGCAAGTGTCCTCTTTGCATTCTAGAGAAGTGAGCAAATATCTCTGCCACCATGTAAAACTCTTTGTGCATAGACCACATTACTTTTCTTCAAAAATGAAGCCTATAAGCAAACAATCCTATTCATGGAACACTCACATCTCCCCTTACACTGATGCTGTTGTTATGTGAATTAACCTCTAGGGCCTGGGATGTGTGTGCTAGAGACAGGCATAGCACTCTTATCTTTCAAAGTGTGTGTGTGTGTATAAAACATGTTCCTGTCCCAGTTTATCCTGCTGTAGGCTGTTGCCCTAAACAACTGTCTCTGGTTCACTTTGGGCATCAGCAAGGTAATGCAAGAGAGGAAGAATATGTCATAGCCCCCTCCCTCATGTACCTTTTCAAGTGTGACAAGGAAACTCAAAGGAAAACAAGGAATTTATTTGGCAGACAAAAAATTGATTTGGGTGTAATGCTAAACCATGGTTTGCAATCATAGGTATAAGCCACAATTCTAGTATTCATGCCCTTCCTTCCATCTCTGGTGCAGTACAAGAAGGAATTTGGAAGCTTTCACTTCCATTTTAGAGTAAACGACTCCATTGTGGTTAATGTTAACCGTGATTTATAAAGCTGGCTTGCTTCAACTAACTTTATTTAAGATTAACCTCAGTTTATTGGTCAGATTAAATGCTAAAATGCAATTCATGGAAACATAAAAAAATTTTCAATCTGTTTCTTGAGGCTTGCTGCAACACATTCTTATAATACTAACTCATGCTTTAGTGCTACATCTAAAATAGCTGACCAATGTTGACTCAGTGCTGCAAACCTATGGGTGTTTTACATGATGTCATTTTACCATTAGAAAATGTTGAAGTGCAACCTTTAAGTAAGTTGTGGTTACATCATTTGAACATCTTTGGAAAGAAAAAACAGCATGTGTATTTTCTCCCAAGTAATATTGTAGTAGGAAAGCCAATTTACTAATTATATCCTTTCAAAAAGAGAGAGAGCATGGGAGCACAAAATTAAGAAGCTTTAAGTTGCAACAGACAGCATAAAAATACTTGTTATAAAATAAAACAAATAATTTAATTTTAACAATTAAAGTCTTTATTACTTTTGAGTTTTGGCCAAATAATAGAAGAATCAACAAATAACCATCAATTATTAATAGAACATTGTAATTTGTCATTCCTGTGATACCAGTTTAAAATACATGTCTCTTATGCCCACCCTTATCCCTATAAAATTGAAGAATGTTGGTTTTATAGTGATAGTTACTGAAAGTTGCTAATAAGATATTTTAACTAGACACTTTTCTCAAATTATTGACAAAAAGGCATTAGGATCAAATGAACTACAGTATCAAGAAGCAGCAAGACCTCAAAGCACCTCAACCTCAAAGCACTTTTGTTATTTTAAAGACTTGCATAAATGGATGAGTAGTTTTAATTTTTAATCCAACTAAAGTGTCAATATGAATAAAAGTAAGGGTAATCACCTCTCCATTGATAACAGTGATATAAACCACTAAAGTTTGCTTTCCATTTTTTTTCAACCAGCAAGTGGAAAATATTTCTTAAAATGTTTAAACAGTCCAGCTGTGATATATTTTCTTGTATCACATTGTGGCAAATGTAAGAAGAACCCAATCCCAAGTATTAGAAAACAAAAATAATGTTAAGAATCTATAGCAAGGCTGTGAAGGACAGGACATTTTGGAGGCCATGGGGTTGCCGTAAGTCAGAGATGGCTTGACAGCACACAGCAACAATACCATCTGCTAAAATTTAATTTTCATGGTGACATCAATCTGAATTTAAATTACAGTTAAGGTCTGGGAACAAAGAACATGTGAAACATATTGCCTAACATGAAAATTATCTATTGACAAACACTCTGAAAACAAGAATGAGAGCATTCTTATGGTTTTACACTGCATGCATAAGCAGAAAGGAGCCCCCGTGATGCCTCACACTTTCATGCTCCCTCTCCTCCTGCACAAGGACAAGGAGAAATAAATCAAAATTTGGTTTCATTTTAGCAGATACCAGGCTTGTCATTATAGGAACTGTGGTTTAAAAGAAACACTGATCAATTGCTGAACTAGAAAACAGTATTCCCTGGGCAGTTTTGTTGACCTGTTTAACAAACTAGATATTATTTTATGCCAAAATGCCTTACTCACACATAACAGTAAACTAGGAACCTGTTAGCAAAACTGAATACTGGTTTATTCCTCTTCCCAGTTATGGGTACTGGGGAAGATAACCACAAGCCAAATAAGTATTTCACACATAATACATTCTGTTCATGCACATAGCATGAAAGATTGTTTTAGCAATATGTACGAAGCCTGTGTCCTTCTGCTTTCCACATATGTATGTTTGGATGCATACAAAGCTTCTGAGTTTTCCTGGAGAAGGCATTAAAAATCTAGTCTGAGTGCCAAGGGAACAATAAACTGAAAGTTAACACATGGTCCAGTGAAATTATTGGGATGATGCACAGTTAAGAATTTATCTATTTATTTATTTATTTATTTTTGAAACTTTTATACAATGCCCCACCTCGAGATGGTTTACAATAACATAAAGAATGGTATGTCCCAGTAGAACCTACACTTTTCAAGCTTATGCTTGAAAGCCATGTTCCACCAAAAGTTACAATTTGATGCTGCTTCCTGCAACAGCAAAGCTTTCACGACTGCCGAGGCTTTCCTATTCACTTCAGTGGTAGGCAGCTTTCCAAGCAGTAAATGTGGAAAGAGGTTATTTCTGGATTTGTTGGCACAGGTCATACTGCATAGGTTTAATACTAGATATTCACTGTCTTTGGATGAGTTAACAACTTGCACTAATTCCACAGAAAGAACTATGGTAACATTTCAAAATAAATATAAAAGCCATGCTCTCTCACAATTTGATCAAGAGGATGAATGATTCTTTAAAAATATTTCTGGACTTATTTTTGCCCTGGACTTATGACCCCTATTTCTATGTGCCGGCCTACTGGTACCAATACCATTAAATGGGCTTTAATTTCAACAGAAATAACAGAAATCTATAAACCTTAGTATTCTGGACATGTGACTCTGCTACTAAGAATCTTGCAAATCACATGCACTTAAGATACCTAATGAGGCAAAAGATCAGACATGTACATCAGCTTAACATTCCTTTTAAATGATGATGGGTTGATGATTATTTTTTGTAGAGCAAAAAGGCTCCTATGTCCCACTAGCCCCGATCCTAAATTGAGGGTGCTTCCAGATGCAGGACTCCTAGCAATACCAAACAGAATGAATTGTAAAATAATTACATCACATTTTCCTCAACAGATTTTAATATTTTGTGGAGTGAAAAATGTCTGAATTAATAGCAGGAAAACATAGGAAGGTTATGACTGGGGGCAATGTTGGCTGGACCCCCAGAGATAGAATGCTGCCACAAGTCTCATCTGAAAACACCCTGATAAAAGTACTAATGTGCAGAAAGACAGAGTCAATCGTGCTTTACCAAGAATATTCTTAGCTACAGGAAAATAACCTAGTTATTCTTTTTTTAAAACCTTATCAGATGTTTCTGTGTACATAGTTGTTCATGTTGCTATATATACATGTTTGTTATTAATTTTTGTAATTGTTATTAAACTGTTGCACT